CCCTTAGCTGGGACCCTAACAGATGCTACCACCCCAGTTGAGGGTGGACCTGGGAACACCAGAAATTAAGAGGTGGTTCTATGCACCTCAAAACCTCCTGATCAGAGGCCTTGCTGTTGGACATAGTTTATCATCTTAGCCAGGGTGTGAATGTAGTTTATCTTCATACTCAGGACAAGCTATCTGTTTTAAATATATGTCTTGTAAAGCTGCCATTTTTTGGGGGGGGGAGTATTACATATGAGACACATGCAAAACGTTTTTTTGTAGTGGAGGTAAACTATTTCCTCTAGTGTTACATATTTTCTCCTTTTACTGTAGTGTAAAAATCTATTTATCAATATGCCTGTTCATGATTACCAAATGGAGAGTAATGACATAATATTATGGCTCAGTGCAACATTAAGCTGAGCATCTCAAATTTACTAGATGTGGCATAAAATTTCACCTGTTATTTCAGCATGAAGGGTTTATGCCACTTCACCAGGAAACATTCCCAAAGGTGTTAGAACACATTTCCTGTGACAGAAGCCAAATGGTGTAATGGTTTGAAAACACCCTTAGTGTTCATTGAAGGGGTGAAAATGAATGGTAGAGTTTACTAGCAAATTTTGGAGAAAGATGTGTTACTCTGGTTGTCAGCCACATTTGAAAATCACTGATTTCATTGAAAGTAGAGTTTCTGCACACATGGCTAATTTGATGCAGAAATGGTGCAAAAGATATTTATATGGATTTTTTAACAAGGCAATTTTGCCTCCATTAAGCCTACAGGTATACGATATGACCCATATTGGAGACCAATGTTTTTAGTAGCTTGTACTCAAGTGTGTGGTACCAGAACGAAGCTCTTATGATAATGTGGTACAATTTGAATGACGAAGTGGTGAAGAAGGTATACATTTCAGTTGAGAAGAGATTAAGGTCTATGGTGAAAGCAAAAGGTAGACATTTTGAATTGTAAATACATGTAAAATATTGTCAATAAATATAATTGTCAACATGCAAACTTTCATCAACAAAAGTCTAAAACTTCTTATTTTATTATAAAATGAATAACAGGTAAATTTATATGCCACACCTGGTACTGTAAAGTGATGGCTAGCAATCTCACATCATATTTCTAGTGTGGTGAGATTGAATCTTATTGGATAATCTACTATTTGTGTCATATTTTTAAGATTGCCCCACTTGTCTGCCAAAGAACTTCCTCCAACAATTGTTAGACGGTTTTCAAAATGCAATATGAAAGATAAGGATGCATAGTTTCCTTTTCTTTTGCAATGCCTTAGAGATTGGATGTGTCTTGTTTCCTCTTTGGGAATTAGATTGGATATGTTATGTTTTTCTTCGAAGATGTCCTTTGGTTTCTGGTGAACCACATGCTGCATTGCATGCAAATATAAATATCCGCAGATCAAATGTCAGCATATAAATGTCCTAAGCTTATTTACACAAGCATATCTGATAACTCTGCTCAAACCATAGATAAACCATTCTCAAATGGAAGTCTCTCAACATCTTTAATATGACATTGCACGCATACATATGAAAACCAACATCTCTACAGACACACCTTCATTCTCTTCATCTTGTGTTACTTCTATCTAGTTTGCTTAGGCAAGATAATATCTTTATGTCAATTGTACAATATCGCTTCTAATTTCATTCCTATCTCCTGTTTCAGAAACTCCCCATAAACATTAAATATTATTCCACATTGTTTCTTTTCAATTTACTGATCATGAATAATCACTATTTTCTTAATATTGTGTGTTTCTTAATATTGTCAGTTTCACCAAAATGTCATTAGGTGGTGCTGTTAAACAACTATAAAAATGTGACACTTCCTATCTGCTCTCTCTTTTCCTCCCACCAATGCTACGAGGACCTTGTCCTAAGCATGGGAATATCGTTCCCTTTAGTGACTGAAATTTTGTGTATATGTGTATGTCACCCACACAACTCCAAACTTTTAATGTCTTCTTTCTTTTACATGCATACTAGTGTCTTTCTTCTTTTTTGTTACAAGATCACTGAAGTTAAGCAATTTTGAGCCTGGTTAGTACCTACATGGGTGACCACTTAGGAATACCAGGTGCTTTAAGAATGGATGTGTGGGGTTGAATAATGTGCATTTATCACCCACACAACTCCTAACTTTTAATGTCTTCTTTCTTTTACATGCATACAAGTTTATTTTATATCCTTTGTTACTCAGTTACATAAAAACAAAAATATTGTCTTCTTGAAATTTATTCCATAGTCTAACTATGAGCACTGTTTACATTGTTTGGACTGTTTTCCTCATCTTTATTATCATATTTACATCATTTTGGCTGTTGTATGCTATGGCCTTTTTCAGGTGATATATATTGGAATTTTGAAGCAAACTCTTTATTTAATCCACTTGAGGTAGATTGCTCTCGTTCCACATGCCATGCCTTTTCTAGATGTCTTAGTTTCAGCTATTTTCCTTTAGTAACTCAACACCCTGAACACATATGGCCCAGGAGATAAAAGTATTCATTGAAGTAACCAAGTGACTTGACCCAAAGAGTTGTGAGTTCAATACCTAGCCACAGCAGTGTTGAACAAAAAAACTTGGAGAGTTGAGTTACTAAAGGGAAATAACTGCAATTGAGATATCTAAAAAAACATGGCATGTGGAACAAGAACAATCTACCCCAGTGGACTAAATAAATGGTTCAGTTCGAAATTCCAATGTATATCACCTGGAGAAGGCAAGAGTAAACAAAAAGTTTTGAATATGACAATAAGGATGAGGACAACTGTCCAGACAATGTAAATAGTTAGAATATCTCATCTCAGAAACATAGACAGATCCTGAAGAAGAGCATACAACAGCTGAAATGTTGTGAATATGACAATGAAGATGACAACTGTCCAAACAATACCTCATCTCAGAAATATAGATGGATGTTAACTATGAGCAGTTTCACAATATCGACAACAATGTTCTTGATACTCTTCAAAGATGTACCCAACCCCTTTATCAGACCAACCACACAGCCATGAACAATTTGTTCCTCTTTGCGTGTGCAGAACATTTTTGCTCTTTCATTAGAAAAACTTTCTTTATGGTTAACAACAAATTATACAAAGTTTTCTCTCCACTTAGTTCTATTCTGAGCCAAATTTAAATGAAATTGTAAAGCACTGTCATTCAATAACAAAATCCAATATCAAAATCTTTAGTAAGATTTAAATGCTACTGCCAGTATTTAACCAATAACAAGTTTAAGTTCATTTTTGTCTTTGTAATTTTTCTTTGCTTGACATTAATATTTTAACACATACATTTTACTATTTTCTGGATTTGACAAGTTTAAGTTAATTTTTGTCTAAGCCAGAAAAATTAAACAAAGATCAACTTGTCTCATTCAGAAAATACTAAAATGTATGAGTTAAAATATTAGTGTCAAGCAAAGAAAAATTACAACTTAAACTACAAAAATAAAAATGAATTGTTAAAATGCAAGCTTCTTTTCTGGATTAAGAATGTAAAGAAAAAACCTTTCAACTTGTTTGAAAGATGAAAAGATGAACAGAAAGTGATAAAATTACCCAGAATGCACGGTTCACAAATATGTATAGTTTGGAGGCATTTGCGTGTTTGCAGGTTTTGAAATGAAATAAAATGAAAGAGAAATGAAACTAAGGAATAAAAAGAAATTCAGGTTGTGTTCATTTGATGTTTGTGGAAAGATATAACTGATCTGCATATAAAGAAGTCATTTCTCTTCTGTTTCAATAGAACATTTTATCTAAAATTCATTGTTTTTTCTTTTCTCTACTTTTTTCCAGTTGCCTTCTCAACTATTTATTCTATCAGTGCATTTGTCAACCAGGTGTGTTATTGATATTTTGAAATTGACAGATTAATTACAATTTATTAATTGCTTGTACCTGTTCAAATAATTGACTTTCAGAGCTAAACTTTTATTTTTTTATTTAATTTTTTAAAACCATTTTTTCAAGTTAGTTCCACTTTCTTCCCTTCTTCTTCTATCTATCCATCTCTATTCATGTCTTTCCATCTTTATAACCCCATTCATATCTATCTTTATACTTAATCCTATTTATATATATGCATACAATTCTATGATTACCTAATTCTATTCATCTGTGTCTAATTCTATTCATATATGTCTATCTAAATCTATTCCTATCTAATTCCGTTCATATATATCTAAATCTATTTCTATCTGTCTAACTCTATTACTATCTAATATTATTTCTATCTAATTCTATTCCTGTCTATTTCTATCTAAATTATTTTCTATATAATTCATTCTATTCATACATGTCTATCTAAATGTATTTCTATCTAATTCTATTCATATATATATATATAAATCTATTTCTATCTAATTCTATTCATATATATATATATAAATCTATTTCTATCTAATTCTATTCATATATATATATATATCTAAATCTATTTCTATCTAATTCCATTCATATATATATATATATATATATATCTAAATCTATTTCTATCTAATTCCATTCATATATATATATATATATATCTAAATCTATTTCTATCTAATTCCATTCATATATATATATATATATATATATATATATCTAAATCTATTTCTATCTAATTCCATATATATATATATATATCTAAATCTATTTCTATCTAATTCCATTCATATATATATATATATATATATATATTTCTAAATCTAATTTCTATCTAATTCCATTCATATATATAAATATATATATCTAAATCTATTTCTATCTAATTCCATTCATATATATATATATATATATATATATATATATTTTCTATCTAATTCCATTCATATATATCTAAATCTATTTTTATCGATCTAATTCTATTCCTATCAATCCATCTAATTCTATATCTATCTATTTCTGTCTAAGTTACTTTCCATATAATGCATTCTGTTCATAACCATTATTGACTGGATATTTTTCAGTTGAGGAAATAAACAGATTCACTGCATTCTTTGCTTACCTTGCAAAAACAAGTAAGCCGTTTTGTTTTTGATGCTACGCAAATTCTCTGCAAAGCAAGTGTACTTTCCAACTTCTTTCCAAGACATAGAATCAATGTAGAGTCTGTGGCCATCTCTAGACTTATTCACCGAAAGGGGCAGAGAAAATGAATCCTGAAAAAAACAAAAAACAAAAAAAAACAAAAAAAAAAACAAAAAACTTCACTTTAAAAATAAAGCAAATATCTTAGCATACTTTTATTATCAGAAGACAATTCAATTTCCATTTCTTAAAAGTTGGAAAGTGCTAAAAAAAACCTGTTGTGAATCATCAGAATGAATAAAAAAAATTGATGGAGTAAAAATAGTCATTCCTTTGGGCACAACAAATACAGAGATTCCACAGAATGACTATTGAGATCAATAAGAATTCATGAAAAGAGGAATTTAATTGAAGTAATGGAAAATAATAAAAAAAGACATGAAAAATTAAGCTTGCAGTTCCAGAAAGCATTTTTGTCAGACTGCATGCTGAAATAAACTAGTTGAGGAAGGTCTTAGAATATAAAAAGTGCTTGGTTTTCGGTTGGCATCTCAGTCCCACCCTTTCATTGTTGAAACGGTTAAGTGTAGCCATCTCTTCTTCTTCAATAGCTTCATGTCTTGCACTTCCTGTCTGTGGAACTCCCTTCTTCTTACTTGCTTCCCTGATAGCTATAATCTCCAAATGAAATGTCAATTGATATCTCCAAATGCCTTGACTATTCCCTGTCCTTCTCTTCATCCTTTCCTCTATCACACCTCTTTCCTCTTGCTTCCACTCTCTATAACTCCTTGCATGCTAGTGGCATTCCTGCCTTGCTTGGGGTGAAATTCTTAGAAAAAAAAAAAAAGAGATGGCATCAATGTGCAACATCTAAAATAGTTGCTAGAACATTTTGATGTAGAGAAGAGTTTAGTAAACTATAATTACTACAGGCATATATGTGTTAAAAAAATAAAAGAATACCTGCACAAGAAAATTTGAATTTCAGCCTTTATCTTTTCTGGCCAATAATACAATAGAATATATTTAACCAATCAGGAACAGATAACCTTTAACCCTCTGCATTATTAATATGACTCCTCTTTCCACTGCAATTTTTTTCAAGGGCTCTCAATTGCAGTAGCCTTATTAATTTCACTCAAAGGTGTTTTCTGTTGCCATAGCAGGATATGACAACACAACTATGAAATTCAAACACACTATTGTTTGGGGATCAGAGTCACCTTCAATGGCAGGATTAACTTTTTATACAGCAAATGAAGACACATATAAAGGTTAATATAAATATATTTTAATGCAGCCATTATTTATAGATACCTTGTATTCATAAAATATTCCAGTAACTAGATACATTAAATTAATTTACAGGAACCAAAAATCCAGATACTCAGTTTTGACAAATAATTTTTCATCCTTTTAATCATGAAGAAATACTGAAGAAATTTTATATCCAACATGAATCTCCTAGTCTATCTCTTTCAGAAGTTTTTTTTTTTCTCTCAGTAAAGTTCACCCCTATACAATGTCCAGGGTTCACTCAAGGTAGAGGGTTATGTTAAGGGGTAGTTTATTTAGATAGGAGGGGAAAAGATGAATAGAGAATAAATATATAATTTGTAAGAAAACAGAAAGTATGGTTATTAGCAAAAAAGAACAGCACAAGATCCAAACTACAAATTGGAGATGTCAAAAGTCAGTCAAATATCAAAATTTAACTATTTTTGAAGTGTATTAACAGATGTCTGAAAATATGACACCAAAATCAGAAGGTGCATTGAAATAGAAAAAGATAGCTTTTAAAAGCTTTTCAAAGTACTACGAGACAGGAAACAAAGAAATGAGTGATGAAATAATATGTCATATCAATGTTATGTAGAAGTAAATACTGGATAATTTCATCAAAGATGAAGAGTAGACTTGAGTTGACAGAGATGAAGTTCTAGAGAAGGATACTGAAAATACTATGGACAGCAATGAGGAACTTTAAGGAAAATGGAAACAAAAAGGACACTTAAATCAAAAAGAGACAGGTGAAAAAATCTTGGACACATAATGAAGAAAGAGAGTTTGGAGAACCCAGGACATACTGAAGGCAAAAAGGGCAAATTGAAAAATTGACTAACCCTAACCTCACGGGTTTGTGAAAATGGATGACAGAAGAATAGGAGGGAGTGAGAGTAAAAATGCAAACATTGATAAGAACTACAAGAAACTGTGGAGAGCTATGCTTGCCTACATCCTTAAAGAACAAAATATATAGAAGAACACTATTTCAGAACACTATAAAAACTACCAGGTAAAAAAGTTATGATTTATATATCAAAAGAAGAACACAGAATTAAAAGGTGGTGCAATAGTTAAAAAAAATGTGAAAATAATAAATTAACAGAATATATCTAAGAGGTTTTGCACCATGAATAGGCCTGTAGTATAGAATGCCATGGAAGAAAGACAAAGAAGAATGACTGATAAATACAAAAAGTAAAAGAAATCTGTTGAATATATTTGCTTGATTCCATGAATTTTTGAGGCAAGAATTCTGTCTATATTTCTGAGATGAAGTATTGTAACTATTCTAACACTATTTACATTGTTTGAACTGTTGTCCTTATCTTTAGCGCCATATTCACAATGTTTCGGCCTTCTTCAGGTGACATATGTTGGAATTTTGAACACAACTCTTTATTTAGCCCACGGTAATAAATTGTTCCAGTTCCACATGATGTCACTTTAGATATCTCAGTTTCAGTTTATTCCCCTGAGTAATTCAACTCTCCAAGTTTTTGTTACCTCTTCTGTGGCCAGGTATTGAACTCACAACTCTTTGATCAAGTAACTTTTTACATCAGTCAGCCAATGCTTTTATCCACTGTGCTATGTGTCCAAAGGCATGGCACATGCAATTAGAACAATCTACCCCTGTGGACTAAATAAAAGGTTCGGTTCAAAATTCCAACATATAGCACCTGAAGAAGGCCAAATCATACAACGGCTGAAACATCATGAATATGGCAATAAAGATGAAGACAACAGTCTGAACAATGTAAATAGTGTAAGAATTCTTATCTTTGTTGTTTGGATCACAATTTTCAGCCCTCATAGGTCAACAGCATTCCTTGGTGGTTGCATCACATTTATTTTATGGTTGTTGCAGTTATGCACAGCAACAGGGTTTATTTCCCTCCAACTTTCTATATTTGGTTGATGCAAAAGTTTACAGTGTCATCTTGCAAGTGTCTTGAAGTTCACTCAGCTCTTTATAACTTGTTTGGTTGACTGTACTGTATTATTTAGAGACACTTGAAAAATTTCAGAAGCTAGGAAAATGACTTATACATGAACTTACAACAAGAATCTACATAATGATAAAATCTAAAGAAGAATCTATAATGTTATTGGTCCTGACCTGGCATTTTGACTTCAGTCACTTTCCAACCAGTGTAATGTAGCTTCCCTGTGCCTTTTCTATAAATACTTTCATGATAATTGCTTTGATGAACTTTCCTCTATGGCACCTAGATTCTTTGAATTAAGCACATTACAAGATTAGCAGGAAAGTCACATCATTTTACAGTTGAAATGACTAGATATAACTGTAAGTTCTATGCTAACAATTTCTTCTATTACACTACTCACTTGTGGAACTCTCTTCTGGCTCCTTACTTTCCAGCCAACTTTGAGCTTAAAAAATATAAATGCAATGTTAATCGTTAACTCCTGTCTTTTTGATTCCTCTTCTTTTATTGTTCCTGCTCCTTAATAATGTTTATTTTTTATATTCTTTCACACTCAGTAACACCCTGCATCTTAGTGGCTTTGTTGCCTTGCTTCAGGTGAAATGATTAAAAAAAAAAATAGTACAGAGTTTAATAATTATGATTAAAACAATAGGAAACAGTAACAAAATATTTTTATCATTAAGTGTAATATAAAAAACACAACAACTTAAATATTTTTAGAATCAATCTGTAATTTATATTAAGTCTTACCAGCTATCTCTTTGTAAGCAGGAGTGGCTGTTAAGCTTAAGTATAATTAGCCTTTAATGCTAATGTATTATATAACATCCTCTCTCTAGTGTTGTTGATTGTAGCCGCTGTGCACATTTCTTGTCCTTGATTGAATTCTGATAAACCATTTAAGCTGCTTTTTTGTTGACGTCTTTTTCATACGACCAGTTTATGGCAATGTGAAGATTTCATTATTGTTTTTGTTACTCTTCAATGAATCTGATTGAGTTTTGTAAAAAAGAATTGGCAAAAATTTCAATCTCTACATATGCAACGATGATACAAATATACTTAAAAGACTTGCAGATGTAACTGCAAGAAAGTGCTTCTACAAAGAAGTAACTAAGGGTGGGGGTGAATACATATGCATCCAAGAGATGACTGTGTAAGGTTTTAGATAGAACTCTCCACCTAGCAAGCAGATAAGACAAGTTGAGTTAATTCCCTTGAAACAGTAAGGATATTTGAGATGAATTGAGACCCTTGATACAATTCGAGTCAGTTCGGTCCTAGAAAGAGATTGTACACATGTTGCAACCAATGTCTTGACTCACACCATGAGGGATGAAAATATATACTAGTAGATGATGACTACACCTCACCTAAGCTCAAAGGTAGTAAATTTATTTCTTTTTATGTGCCATATCCTTTCAGAACATAGGCAATCATAGCTCTCCACCTCCCTCTATCTCTTGCAGCTCCCAACTAGTTCTTTCTCTCTGCTTCCTCCCTCAGACCACTTTCTATCATCCACTTGCTTAAGGCCACCAGGTATGTCATGCATTGTTTTCCGTTGTCTCTCTCTTACCCTCTATTCAACCTGAGAGTATCAGATTCTCCAGGTCTTCCGTCCTCATTATGTGTCCCAGAAACTTCAGCTGCCACTTCCTGATATTAAGTATAAGCCTTCTCCTTGTTTGCAACCTTTCTAAGATCTCATCATTGCTCACACACTCAGACCATGATATCATTAGCATCCTTCTGTAGAACCACATCTGTCACTTTGAATCTCTTCTTCATCTTTGAGGAAATTGTCCAACATTTGCTACCATAAAGAAGGACAGATGTCACATTACAGTTCAGTATTCTTTTCTTTGTTACCAAAGAACTTAAATGAATGTAAACCTTGTCTATCGTAAGTACCATGTTCATACTTATGCCATGTATCATTGTTTTACATTGTCACATGTAATAAGAAATGTTAAAAAGTATTTTGGCACCCATCTTTTTGTTTTTCCTTTTTAGTACCTTGTTTTTATTCTTGTTTGGATGCTCCTTATTATAAAGTAACCCCCTATACCAACAAATGCTTTGTTATCTTAATTATTGCTTGTATAATAATAAATGTGTGATGTGGTGTAATGGATAATGGCTTGGCATGATAAATCAGAGAGTTGGGTTCAAATTCCAGTCAAGTTCATTACATTCACTTTTGTTCAAATACCCTTGGGAAAGGTATGAATCCATCTCTTCTCCTTCCAGCTATAGGTTGAATAGCAGGACAGAATGAGTCCTATAGCTTTGGTTAATAGTCTACCATAGAAAGAAATGGCAGCCTGCTGTAGAAAAATCTTCTGCCTAGTGAGACATGAATCAAAAGAGACATGATTGCCAAGCGTGTATCACTAACTGATCACAAAATATAGTTTGCACCTTTAATGTACTGTGCATTTTGAGTTGATCAAATGGTAAAATGATCATTTAAGTCATTTTGAATTCTAATTAGCAATTAATTAATTAGTAATTACAAAATGTAGAAAAATTCAAGTCTGGGGCTGAATATTTGTTCAATGTACTGTAAGTTTGAGTAAGTGTGGTGAATGGAATCAACAAACCAAATTTTAATTCTAACTGATACACTAATGCCTTTGGAAAAGACATGAATCAATTTCTTTTCTCTCCTCCAGTTATGGATTAAATATCAGGGCAGACTAGGCTCTCTACCTCTGGTCTGCAATCCATCTAGAAGGACATTGGATTCAAAACTGTCAAATAGGAAACCTTTCTATTACCTTTTCCTGAAACAGAGCAATGCACAGTTTATAGATATTAAAAAAAGGGGGCTGTTGGGAGATTAAGGACACAAGCCACTTAAAATGAGAAATCTCCTCCATTCTGGGATGAGGAGTTATTTACACACAGACTAATACCCTCATCTTTGTTGTTGTCATCATAGTGTTTTGGCTGTTGTACTCTCTGGCCTTCATCAGGAGTTGATCTGTGTAGCCTGAAGGGAATTCCAAACTAAACCCTTTATTTAATCTAATTGTTTTCATTCCACTGCCCATGTCTTGGAATATCTTTTCTGATTCTTAGACAAGAGCCTAGTGGATTAAAGCATTAGTTTGTGAATTTGTGAGTTCAGTCCTTGGGCCAGGCAGTGTATACTTGGACTCAGTAGAAACAAGGTGAGCAATAACTGAACAGTACTAAAAATAAAAACTAGACAAGATATCCTTAAACTTGGGCAGTGGAACCAGAACAATCTAACTCTGTAAAATAAATAATGTGTTAAGTTTGAAATTCCTTGAAGGTTAACTGGATTGGCATACACCTGATGAACCCTTGACAGCATAATAGTTGGAATGTTGTGATAATAACAATTAAGATGAGGACAATAGTCCGTGTGTAAACAATGTTATTAAGTAAGTAGGTAAAGGTATTGTCTTCATTCTTATATGATTTAATGGAATAACCTGTCATGCTCATGAGTGACTACACTATAGGTAGTAACTATCTATAAGTATCTGTAAAGCAATGAAGTATGAGGAGTCTAGTGGGAATATTTTCCAGCAGTGCTGGTCAAACTCTCTATCTCCCCAGACGAGGCTATGTGGCCGTAAGTAAAAATTGTGTTTAGAATAAATGATTTATTTTTCCACTCAAACCATTCGAAACAGTTCTTCTGGAATTGCGCAGAAGGTAAAGAAGGATTTCTCTTTTAGGTTTTGATTCATTTTTTTGTCAAATCCAATATAGAAATCGAAATAGCCAGATACCAGAATCCAATATTGGCTGTGCATGGAGCTTAGCAGGTATCAGTATGGAAAGTGGGAACAGAATTCTGAGTTCAAAAATCCAGATGAGTCTTTTTTATTCCCTTTCACACAAATATACTAAAGAAAAAATATGAATCCAGCTCGTCTCCTCCTAGTTAAAGGTTAGAAAGCAGAGCAGACACGACTCTTTTGCCTTGGTTGGCAACTAGTCTCAAAAAAAGATAACTCTGAATTCAAAACTGGTTGGGGGCAGGTATAAAAACTCCACCCCATTAAAATCTACTTGCTCCAGAAATTACAGCAGCCACACCCAGTGGTTCTCATACATCACAGAGAGTCTACAAGTTCAACTAACTGACTGAATGAAGTAATGGAATAACCTATCACCCCATGAGTAACTACACTATAGGTAGTAACTATCTATAAATATCTGTAAGGCAACAGACTACAGGAGTCTAGCTGGGATCTGTTGAGTATGACTCAGAATTACACGAGAACTACTGACCTTCCAGTAGTAGCACTCACTACTGGATAGACTTGTTACGATCGTGCGCATAACTTATTTCTTATTGTACTGGTTTTTACAATAAACCTTTACTTATTTTATCCACCATATTTGTCGAGTATATATTCCTATTAGCATGGAATATAACATTATGCAACAAAGATGATGTAAATAATCATTGAAATATTGAACAACTTTGTAATGTATATTTTGTTTAGAAACTTACATTAAAAGTCCATGTAATCCTTGGCTTTGGGTCACCAACAGCATCACAAACAAATATCACTGAATGACCCATTTGCGTGACAGTATTTTGTGGAAATGACACAAAATGGGGACCAGCTGAAATTTAAAACAAAGTCAGATATTTAATTGATTTAAACAAAAAAAAATACAGCTTGTATATAACTGGATTCTTATTATGCATGTGTAAAAAACAATACGACAAAAAGGTGGAAGGTAGCTAAAAGCAAAAAAGAAAATGGAAGGCAGAGTAAAAGATAAAAGAGATGAGAAATGAAAAGAAAAAAGAAAAATGGAAAAGAATGAGTATGAAGAAAAGGGAAAGAATAAAAAGAATAAAGAAAAGAAGGATAAAAAGGAAAGAATTCAAAGAAAAAGGAAAGAATTCAAAGAAAAAGTAAAGGAATTAGAAGAATAAAAAACAAAAAACAATGAAAAAGGAAGGAAGAAATAAAAAGAACAACAAGGAAAGAAACAGAATGAAAAAGAAGAATAAGTGAAAAGAATAAGAAAGGAAAAAGAGAAAAAATATTATCTGACAGAAGTAAAATATTTATCTTATTTTTGAAAATAAAATACTGAAAAAAAAAAAGTTTTGTTTAGAAAAATAAAATTCCATTTGACGAGTTGGAATAGGGTTGCATTGAGATCACATGAAACAGGATCTGGAAAAATAAAATAAGTAAAACTTAAAGCAAAGAAAAAAAAACTGATTTTTCTCCTAATATTTTGGTAACAGTTAATAAAGATGAAAACAAACATTTTACGAAAGTATGTTAAATAACTAAGGTTAAATGGAAAAGTAGTTTTTTTTTCCTCTTAGATAAATTTAAATAAAAAATACTGAAATAATATCAAATAAAATACTCCTTCCTCATATCAGAATTATGTCTGAGCCATTTTGGTGGAAAATAAACATTTAAATGGCGTGCTTACAAAATAAAAAAAAAAAAATTACCCCCACAAGAACCAGGAGGAACACAGTTTCTATGTTTTCCAGGTTCTTTGATCTGGTTTTCTGATGCCATGCTGAGTGAAAGTTCATTTTTTTTTTAAAGATAGAAAGAAATTAAAAAAAATAAAATAAAATCAAGAATTCCTGAAAAATAGGTGACTCAGTTGAATGTCTGTAGAAATGAAAAATAAAAAAATCTTTCATTTTATTTGTCTCTTGAGCATTCTATATACCCACATGAGGTTCATGTGTATATATATATATATATATAGTTTATGAAAAACTAGGTAATCCGTATGGGTAAACTCAAGATATATATATATATATGATTGCTGGCCACTCATATCAAAGGATGCCTGTCTACTAGGGCAGCTAACTATTCCCTGCTGCAGACGCCTGCTCAGACATATTTTGGGTTTGTTCAAAAGCCACAGAGCCCACTTATGTTTTATATTGCAACTATGCTGAGTGGAACTTACAGTTTCTGGAAGAGAGTGTGTTATCTAGTGTAATCAACAGCCTGAACAAGGCCAGCATGCTCAAACCCTTGGTCACAATGACCTGTGACTTTGTGCTAGCATAACCATCGACAGCTCTCAAAGGGTTCTGTCTACCCAATTTCATTCACAAGGCTTGGGTCAACCTGTGGTATGGTTTGGAGGAATTTTCCAAAGGTGCTGCATACTAAGATTACCTCCTCCAGACCAATAGCATCAAGAAGTTACCTTCCTGACAAATCAAACATGATGGCATTTGAACCTGGGTCTTATGGTTAGAAAGTCAATGTTCTAACTACTCGGCCACTTTGGACGTATAAGGAAAAACAAGACTTAGATTTTACTGCTGTCTGCAACTAGAAGATTTATTTGAATGTAAAGTTGGTTAATATTACAGTCACACAATTGACAGGCAGTGAAAGGGTCCCCACCCTGCAGCTAGTAGTATATAATAAATAATACAATGTATTAATGATTTACAGGGAACAGAGGAGGACAGGATACCAAATATGTTAAAAACATTTACCCCCCAATGACTTTTTACATCAGATACTTGTACACCCCATGCCTGTTTCATCAGATACTTGTACACATGCCTGTGGAACACTACAAGCTCTGTCCTGGGTATGACAATAAACTACATCCAGCAGCAAGGTCTCTGATTTGGAAGATATGAGGAGTGTGGAACCATTTCATAATTGTTGTTGTTCTCATGTCTAATCTGATCTGGTGTGGTAATGCCTTTTAGGGTCCCAGCTATGGGCAAATAGTGAACCCCAAAACTTGAATAAAAAAACTGAAAGTATAAAAATACATTTTTATAGTAAAAAAAATACAAGCAATAGATTTAAAAAAAAAATACTCCCCAAAAAATTAAATTTTGAAATTAAATGACACATAAGTACTTGATATGCCATTAAGCAAACACACAAAGATTATGAGCTACTGCCTCTTGTTGAGCATTCTGCCATTTTCCATATTTTCTAGAATTGCTAGTTTCTTGTTCAGGCAGAGGTTACACTTATTGCCCTTACCTGTGAACAGTCACACTTTGTGATTTTACCCACATATTTTTTTTTTGCAGAAGGTTAAGAAATCAGAATATTGTCAAGATGTATTGAGAGACTGTTTGGTTCAACTCTATGCAAGAATTGTTCATAATACTTCATGTCAGTTCTACTAATTTTTCCCATTCTATGTTCATTCACAGGAACAAAACATATTTAGTTGGAGAAGATGAGATGATGGAGCAAAATTGATGTTGTATTGGTATTTCTATTAAATTTATGGTTTAAGAATATTACATCAGAAAAACATGATAGAGAAAAACCAAGAAAAGCCATTAGTTTAAGATGTTCTTTAGTCTATGAAATGGGACCTTAGAATATTTTTAATAATTAAGAAAAAAAAAATCTGACAGATGAATTTTTCATAATCCATATTACAGGGCTGAAGATATTTTTTTTTTTATTTCTCTGTAGTTTCATATAAAGTTTTCTGACAGAAATGGCAATATGAAATTGCATTAAGTTCCTCATATCATCTTCCCCCAACTAATTAACACCTATGTATTGTTCATAAGAATTAACCAGAGAATGGTTGAAAGTACTGTTTTTTTTACATGGATCTCTTACAATCTTATGGCGGTTCCAAAGTTTTTTAAAATATGTGTTTGGCTATACACAGAATTAATTTAATTTAGTTTCTTTTTGTTTGTTTTTATCACTTTTGTTATTAAATATCCCCCATTGTGATAATAAAAGAACTGCCAAGAAAGGTAAAATGCTGCAATAACTGGGATATAAATTGACTGTGGATGAGCATTTAAAGCACTTTTGATACATATTCATCTCAGTAAATTGCCTTTTTCTTGTAATTTAAGTAATTTTTTAAAATTAAAACTATGGCCAGACCCATTACATTGAACAACTAATGCAGTGAGTATGTTGGTTTTTTTAAATTATAAAATGTTTTTCCATGTATAAAAATTGAGATTCCTGATTGAAAAATTACTAAACTTTAGTTTACTCTTGATAAGTATTGAACTATATATATATATAAAGAAAGAACAGTAAGATATGTAATCTGGTGTTCTTATTACAGAGCATAAATATTATAAATTAACTGATTTAAAATATGTTGTTTTCGCTACACATTAATAACTATGTTTCAAAAATGGAAGCTAAATTTAATTATATAATTAAATTAAAAGCATTAGTTCCGTTTCATCGTCAAGCGAATATTGGAATAACTTATTTGTAAATTTACTGAGTTTTAAATGCACATATAAATTCATAATTTCCTGTTTCCAAGGATACAGGGAAATCCAATCATTCAGACAGTAACTCATAATTGATACAAAATAGTTAATAAAAATGAACACACTACCACCCCTGTCCGAATGATTGGATTTCTCTGTATAATAATTAAATAATTTATAATATTATATATATATATATATATATAGAAGGACACCTTTCAATTCAAAACCTGTAGAGGGACATTTGGGGAACTTGTGGCATATTGTGCCCCAGTTCTCTTTATTCAGCTATTCCAAAAAGTGTGGTTGGTACTGGACAAGCCTTCACCACTCTAATCAAATGATATGTGTGGGTCATCTGACTGTTGGTTCTAAGAACTGAGCTGCTTGACCTTCATACATCGAAAAAAATCGATGGGAGAGTCATATATATATATATATATATATATATATATTTGATTAGATTAATTTAATGCTGAAATTTTGTATGTGACACTTAGTGAGAATCAAAATCACTACTAAGAACGAAGCTGCTTTGACACTCATATGTCAAAAATGATAGAAGAATCCTATATATATATATATATATATATATATATATATATATATATATAGAGAGAGAGAGAGAGAGAGTCTGCTCTACGGTTGTATTGAGCCCTTTTGTTAGTTGTTTACTCGTATCGGGTTTTTTCTTTGGGCTTCAAACCTGTATCTGTGTGATTTTTTTCAACAGACTTTCATATTTGTAGCTCTTTCTTTTTTTAAAACCTTTTTTTCCCAAGAAATTGTTTTGATTATTGGCAAATCAAAAATTCAAGGGTTTTTCGAAATGAGTATAGTTATCTATATTTGTATATATATATATATATATATTCAGTTGCATGGATAGTAGTTTGTAACCCTGGCTTTTGTGATCATCAGACAAATGCATCCGTGCAACTGAATATGTTAGCTCTACCACGGCTATTGAGCACTTTCCATTAAGTACTGCACATGATATATATATGTGTGTGTGTCCTATGTGTAGGTATGTTAGCTTCATATGAGTCAAAATCTTTTTGATGGTGTGGAATTGAAAAGCATACACACTTTTACTTATATATGTTTTTTTTTTTTTTTTTTTTTGAAAAATGGTCATTAATTTATTATTAACCAAACACAACTGATCTTAATTTAAGGGATCATGTAAAAAGAAAAAGGTCACTATAGCATTTCATTTTAAACTGTCATTAGCACAGACATTTCAGTATTAAGTGAATATGTGTTAGAAAACACTACACACAAAGCGGGCTGGAATTTGACTGATTACAATGTGATCCTAAAAAGGTTGCTAATAGGTGTAAGATCTTTTGCCTGAGCAGGTAATTTAATTGGGATTTATTCTTTT